AATCTTATGAAGTGAAACAAATGCACTTTCACCTGACGTTTTTGTTTCATAACATTCTCTCATCAATTCCTGGTGTTTTTTTTTCTTCTTTTCGAAACGCGATTTATTGATATATATAAAGTTCAATAATGATAGAAAATAAAGGTTTGACCTGTGATTACTTTCCTTGACCGACAAGAAAAAAAAAAAGAGAGAGAGAGTCATGAAAATCCTTCGACAAGTGTTTATAATGTTTGCCATTCATTATACGACCACCAGGTGGACAGAAGAAAATTCACGACAGGTTCTGTGTGTTGAAAAAAAGAAAAATTCTAAAATTGAAAGTAGAAAGTTCTCTGTGTACACGAATTTTTATCCCTTTGAATGAGAAATTTTGCTAATGTAAAAATTTATGGTAATAAATTACTATTTTGCTAATGGTAATTCAGTTATTAGAAATATTTAGTGAAAGTATGAAAAAAAGTTTGCAAAAATGATTTTTTTTTTGCTAAAAAGAACATATAGACTTTTTTTTTTGAAAAGGACGTAATTTTTAATATTTGCCCTTCTTGCGATGTTGTTTCCAAAGCCGTGGACAATTCTAAGGCATCACAGTCAGGATTCACCTAACAGACTGGATCAAGTTTCGAAGAAGGTAAAAAAAAACCTGTCCCGCATCTTCTCCTTCTCATGCGCACCCTTTTGCTGATCTTCTTTCCCTCTGACACCCATGTCAATACAGAGAATCATCACCACCAACTGTAATCCATCCTTACTGTGCTGGAGTGTCGTCTAGACTCCCTGATTTTTCAGAACTTCGTCAAATTATCCCCTTTTTGTTTATTTCAAACTGAAAAAGTAAAAAAAAAAAAAAAATGGTTATCATTTTGTTTACATTTTTTTCAAGTTTTCATGCAATTTTCACACTCGATTTTCATTTTTGGAGAACTTTCGTCCCGAGGAAAATTTTTCCTGACTTCCTTGACCTGTGGCAACCCTAACTCTTGCAAAAAATATTCATTTACAAACATAAACAAAAATACACATTTCTTAGAATGAAATTTTATTTTTCCAATTTCGAAAATAAAATAATTCGTTTTTTTAAGTGTAAAGGAAAGGAGAGCAATATCGGTCGTGTTTTCGCTTTTCATGGAGAGCAAGTGAAGGTGGTGCAATGGAGCCTTTCAGAAAAGTCCATGAACGCACGTATACAAACTTATCCTCTTGAGTGTATAGTTTATAAATGTATAGTGATAGTGGCGTGGTATATAAAACGATGAACTATTCCACGTGACGTGTTGTACACTTTCTCCGACTTTCAAATTTCTTTTCGCTTGTGTATTTGTGTGTGTGAGAGTGTGCATTTGCTAGTATAACATAGTATAATAATCGTGTGCAACCTAAGCTGTTTAAAACCGCTCGCATAAGTCCGGACTTAAAGTCGTTGACCTTAGGCTCCTTACCTCGAGGTCGTCGGGTGGGATTTGATTTGACGCGATCGCAAATCGAGCGTTTTCCAATTGCATAATGAATCACTGTGCTGTTCATTAAAACAAACTCAATATTCATCAATTGTTTCGAATTTCCATTAGAATACATTTTTTTTTATTCTTTATTATTCAGGGCCCAATTTGTGTACCTAAACGATTTTTTCCTCAAGTTTGCTATTTTTTATACTATTATTCATTAAAAATTTATTTTTTTTATCAACGAATCTTTTGATAAACAAAATTCATTGTGTAATTCATGTGCAATTCATATGCAACTCTTGCACATATTTAATATATTTTTCTAGAATACATTTTTCTATAATAAGAAATTTATTTTTAAGATTTTCAATATCCGATCTTTACTCACCAAACTTTTCATCTAAATGTTCTTTTTAACTGAATTTTAAATAAAATTCTACCGTCAACATTTAATTATTTTCATAAATCATAAAAATTTCACAGGAATTCAATTATTTACAAAGTTTTTTTTATAAATTTCCTCACAATAATTCAATTATTTGCATAAATAATAAAACTTTTTATAGGGATTGAATTATTTTCAAATAAATAATAAAATTTAGGAATTTATTTAGGAATTCAAATTATTTTCATAAATAATAAAACTCATCGTAGAATTTCAATTATTTTTAATAAAATTTTAATCGATTTCCCCGAGAAATTGAATTATTCTTGAAAATTTTATTAATATTCGTCAAAAATATTCAATTATTTACAAAATTTTTGATAAAATTCTTTATGAGAATTCAATTTAAAGAAACGTTCAAAAATTCAATAAATTATTTTGATTTTGTATTTAAATAATTGATATCTCGAATATATATTTAAATAATTAGTAAAAATAATGGATTTATAGAAAAATTTAGTTAAAAGCAGTAAAAAATAATTGAATTTTAGAAAAATTGCAAATAATTGAGAAATTCAATTATTTTCAAAAGTAATAAAATTCTTGGCAAAATTTCAATTATTTTCAAAAATTTTTCTCTATTCAATCATATATTAAATATCTACCTATAGGCTATTTTAATAAAATTTTCCACAAGAATTTAATTATTTAAAAAAAGAAAATTTGATCAAATTCTACGCAAACTATTATTTTCATAAATAATAAAAATTTCCCAAGAATTTTATTATTTATAAATTTTTTAATAATTTCTTCGCAAAAATTCAATTATTTTCATAACTAATACAATTTTTTACAGAGATTCAATTATTTTCATCAATAATAAAATAACAATTTCAACAAAATCTCTTGATTAAATTCAATTATTTTCAAAAAGTTTAATAAAATTCCTTGATAAAATTTAATTTTCACAAATTTTTGTAAATTTCTTCAAAATATTCAACAACAATTTAATTATTTTAAGAAAAATTTAAAATAGTTCTTTACAAGAATCCAATTTTAAAAAATATTCAATTATTCAATAAATTATTTTTTTTTATTTAAATAATTGAATTCTTGTAAAATTTTTTAATAAAAATTAATTTAAAAATGAATTTCAGTTAAAATTTTAGATAATAATTGAATATTGAAAGCATTATAGTATGAATTTTCAGAAATAATTGAATTTCAATTATTTCTAAATTTTTTTTATAAATTTCTTCGCAATAATTAAATTATTTTCATAAATAAAAAATTTTTTTTTCAGGATTTCAATTATTTTCATAAATAATAAAATTCTTCGAAGAAATTCAATTACTTTTAAATTAATTTCAACAAAATTTCCTGTTTAAATTCAATTATTTTCAAAAAGTTTAATAAAATTTCGTGAAAATATTCAATTTTTAGAAATTATTATAAAATTCTTCAAAATATTTATTTATTTTTCAAAATTTTAATGAAATTCTTTGCAACAATTCAATTTTTTTAAAGAAAAGTTTGATAAAGTTCTTTACAAGAATCCAATTTTAACAAATTATTTTTTTTCTATTTAAATAATTGAATTCTCGTAAAATTTTCTAATAAAAATTGATTTAAAAATGAATTTTAGTTAAAATTTTAGATAATAATTGAATATTAAAATTATTGTAGCATGAATTATTTCAAGTTTTTATTTTCTAATATATATTTAATTGAAGAATTTCCGAATAATCGAAATTTTTGGTAAAATTAAATTGTACAAATGGATTTGAAAATTCTCAAAAAGAACTTTTTCGAAAATTATTAAAAATAATTTATTTAATGAAAAATTTTAGTCAACCCTGATTTTTTGAGTTTCTAAAAATTTTTAGAGTGAATCGCCAAATATTCCTTAAGGTCAGGGGAGGAAATCAAAATTTCATCTGGACATCAGGGAAAAACAAAATTAAAATTCTTATATTGCAACTCTGAACAGTTAACTACAAGTTGATTAATTAGTGATTTATTGTTATTACCTAAATAGAGTAATAAAAAGTAACGATTGTATTAATAAAAGATTTGTAAGAAGCTAATTAATTTTTATAAAAAAAGGAAAAGGAAAAAAAAATTTTCTCCATATTTCCTAATGATAATATTACACAAGGTTTTATAGAGATTTTTATCTACTATGATATATTAACTTGATTAGGAAATCAAGTTCGAAACGCGCAGGGTCGAATGTATATCTAAGAAAGGAACGATCTAATGATTTATTTAAGTTTTTGCGCTCTTATAGAAGAAGGGAGAGAGAGAGGGGAGGGGGGCACTTTGTAACTAAACGTTGAAAGCGAGGGACTTTCATTTTTCCCACCCGGTGCAACTATTGCAACATAATTGTAGGCATTATCGAATTACGTATAGCATTCGCTTTGAAACTTCTATATGATGGCAAAACGATTTTGAATTTTAGAAATGAAAACAAAAACAAATTGTCTCGTCTCTCCTTGAATTCTAAACGGATATCACTCTGTGAATTAAATTTAAAGATTTTTATTCCGATAGGGCCCGAATTTCCGGAAATGAGAAATTTTGACCGCAATAATAAATGGAGACGGAGAAAAGAGTTGTGAAGTGGGGTGTTCACTGAAATGGAAAAATGGGAATTTTTTTTCTTCTTTTTTTTTTTTTTTTTTTAATTCGTAATTTGTGATAAATTTGTGGCTATATTATTAACAAGAATGCCTTTTGTCGCTGTTGAATTATTAATCTTAATGGAGAAGAAAAATTATTTACCCGAAAAAAGATTGAGGGGAGAATTATTTTGGTAAATAAAATTGTTGTGACGTAATCTTAATATTATTTTTGTTAATAAGTTGGGTAAATTTTAGTTTTTTTTTTTAGGAAATTAATTTACGATTTTTGTTCCATTGAATTATGAAAAAAATAATAAAAATTAAAAATCAGAAGAAAAAAATAATAAAAATTAAAAATACGAAAAAAAATAAAATAAAAATAAACAATAACAAAAAATGATAATAAAAATAGAAGAAAATAAAAAATAGAGAAAGTAAAGAATAATAAAAACAAAAAAAAAATAGAAAATAAAAAAAAGATTAATGAAAATTAATATTCTATGGCAAATGTTTATAATTGGAAATTATTATTTTTTACAGGTGTCCATGAGTATAACGAAAAAATTGGATGAAGTGAGACTACTCGAATCAAGGAAAAGCGCACGACTTGCTTATTCGGATACTGATTTTGCCAGACTTGCTGACATGGCCGGGGATAGAAAACGATCATCTTCAAACTCTATCGATGTGCCAAATGCCAATGGGTAAGATTAGTTTTCTTCAATATTAAATTTTCCCCTTTCCAATTTTAATGAAAATGAAAATATTTCACTCAATTGTTCAATATGAAAATTTCATTTCAACCTTTGTCGCATAAATTATTATAGTAAGAAATTAAAAAAAAAAAAATTAGTCTGCAAATTTCAACATTGATAATTAATTTATATTTCAATAAAAATTCTCAATTAATATTAAATGAAAATTTGAAACTTAATTTATAATCGAATTTTAGAGATAATTTTGAATTTAATTTCAAGGAAAAAATTTGGAATTTAATCTCATTACAATTAAAATGTTTAAATGAATAAATTTTATTTAAATAAAAAATTTGAGTTTAATTTTATTCAATTTAAAAATTTAAATACGAATTTGAAAATTTTAAAAATTTAAATATGGATTTTAATTTAATTTTATGCAATTTTTAATTTCTAAGAATACATTCAAGAATTTTATTTATAATCAAAGGAAGAAAGAAATTAATAAAAAATAATGTAATAAAGCTCGATAAAATAATTAGAGGGTGAAATATTTTCCCCTTTTTTTTGTCTCGAACAAGCCCTTTTTAAAATCTAATATTTTTTTGTATTATTGTTTTCACATTCCCTTATATCAAAGTAAATATTGAATTTTTTCTTTTTTTTTGCTTCTGTATATAACAAAAAAGAAAAAAAATCTATTTTGGTTACAATCGCGCTACGAAGCGTGATTTGAGCCCAAGGGATCAAAGCATTGAATAAATCCGCTTTTGCTCTTATCCAGCACTCCTTTGTGTCCCTGTCACACATACTTGTCCATAGATTATCCTTAAAAATTTTCCTTTAAATAACAAATCACCGAAGGAAAGTAGTTTTCGCAAAAAAAAAAAATATTCCTCTGGAAAAAACGCGAGAGTTAATTGAATTATCTTTCAATTGTCTTTTGCATTCAGATTATTTTTTTTTTTTTTTTGAATTTGTTTGATATTTTCCAATATTTATTTTTGATTGTATCTGAAATTAAATTGAAATTAAAATGAAAGGAGTTGAAATTAAAATTAAAATTTGACTCGGAGTGATCGTTCAATACAGTAAATATTTTAACTAAGACGACCGAGTGAATATCAAAATTCTTTCCAGAAATTCAATTATTTTCAAAAAAATTTTCTTAATTCAATCGTTTTCAATATTCTTTTTTAATAAAATTCTCCAAAAGAATTCAATTATTAAACAAAAATTTTGATAAAATTCTACACAAAAATTCAATTATTTTCCCAAAAAAAAAAAAATTTCACACGAATTCAATTATTTAAAATAGAATTTTCATAAATTTTTCCCAAAAATTAATTATTTTAAAATTTTGTCATTAAATTCTTCACAGTAATTGAGTTAGTTTCCAAACTAATAAAATTCAATTATTTTAAATTTTTTTTATAAAATTCATGGAAAAATTTCAATTATTTAAAAACAAATTTAACAAAATTCTTCATGAATATTCAATTATTTTCTAAAATAATGAACATTTCACAGGAATTCAATTATTAAAAATGGAATTTGCATAAATTTTTTCGAAAAAAATCAATTGTTTGAAACTTTATATAAAATTTTTTGCAATAATTTAATTATTTTGTTAAATAATAAAACTCATTGCAGATTTTCAATTATTTTTAATACAATTTTAATCAAATTCATTAAAAAATGTAATTATTCTTTTTTTTTTTTTAATAATTCAATTCTTGGAACGAATTTTATTACATTTTTTAAAAAATAATTCAATTCTTGCAACGAATTTTATTACATTTTTTTAAAATAATTGAATTCTTTTGAGAAATTGTATAAAAACAGTAAATTTTGAAAATATTTTAATTTCAATAAAGAATTTTATTATTTGTGAAATGTAATTGAATTCTTGCAACATTTTTTGAAAATAATTCCATTTTTTGAGGAATTTATTTAAATTTGTATTAAAAATAATTGAAATCCTATGAAAAATTTTATTATTTATGAAAAAAATAATTGAATTCTTGCAACGAATTTTATTACATTTTTTTTTTAATAATTGAATTTTTTTGAGAAATTGTATAAAAACACTAGATTTTGAAAATATTTTAATTTCAGCGAAGAATTTAATTATTAATTTGTGAAATGTAATTGAATTCTTGCAAAATTTTTTGAAAATATTTTCATTTTTTGAGGAATTTATTTAAATTTTGTAACCTCAATATTTTACTCAACAATGATTTACTTTCCAAAATTCAAACAAAATAAATTTAGCAAAAATTAATAAAATTTAAGGTTACTTAGGAACGATTAAATGTGATGCAAAAGGGTGGGCGCCAGTCCTAAAAGGACACTCAACAAAATTCACAAAAGGGACAAAACAGATTTCTAAATAATTCCGAATAAACGAAGGCCACCAGGCTAATTACCGGCAATTATTTAAATTGAATTTATTTATTATCGGCACACGAGGCCACCAGGCTAAGTGTCGATCAATAAATACAAAAAAAATAAACATAAACAATATTCTCAAGATAATTTGATTGGCGATACACGACGGCTACCAAGCTAAGTATCGACAATCCCACACTAATCTCACAATAATAATATAAATCACGAATTCAATCTTCCTAAAATGTGTCCGGGCTAACTACAGTCCCATTACTTGGAAAATAGTAGAGGGGGTGGCTCGATGTCAAGTTTCAATTATTCATTCAAGAAAGAAAAGACAAATTAAATGAATTTCCATAATGACAATTTATTAATCAAAACATCAATTGAATTTAACATAATAATTTTAACAACGATTCTTAACAAAAAAGAAAAATTAGAAAGAAAAAGATTCTTTTCCTTTCATGATTCGAGTTCTGAATAGCAAAAAAAAATAAATTTGAAAAAGTGAGGTTATGATTAATTGATAATAAAATATTCAAACATTGATATCCAATTTTCCTCTGTAGGAGATCAAACGAAGAATTTTAAATAATACCGTTACAAATCATCAAGAAATCTTACTTTGAAAAATTGTTGACAACAAATTCCCACGAAACGGCAAACGACTCCCTCCTCGGAAATATATTCCTCGAGAAATGAAACCAAGATCTCCGAATGAATGGCCCAACAAAATTAATTAATTTTTATTTAATTATTATTGAAATTTAAAAGATTAATTAAGCAAAGATAAAACTTTTTCAAGACAAAGCGTCCTTCTATCAAGAAACCCAGAAAAAGAATGACAAAATTACTATTGTTTATTATCCCTATGGAGATTTGTTGCCAACCAAAAAAAATGAAAGTTACTCTAGTATACAATAATTCGCGATCATAATACAGTCTTCTGATTGGTGGATATTTCAAAAAGGAATCTTCCGATGAATCTTGATGGTAATTGAAAGTAGAACGAAATTTGAAAAGTAGAAACTTGATTATAGACAGAATAAATAGCTTGAAATGTTATTTGGAATATTTCTTCTAAAATGATGAATTTCTTCAAAAGAATTTGACGCTCGATGTTAGATCATTATTTTTCTCCTCCAATAGAATTATTTGTTGAACAAGAGATTAATGTTGAAATTCAAAAAGACTAATAACCACTTATGCATAAAAAGCTGGACTATGACGATCTTTCAGTCCCAAACTGACATAAAATCTTGAACAGAAACAGGTAATATGGGCCTTGTCTTCACGTAGCAATAGGAGTTTCAAATAAAGTTTGAAATATAATGAAACCTTCCAAAAGTAGAATGTTCTTGAATATTCCTCCAGGGAATTAAGTCAGTGTTATTTTCTAGATACTTGAAGTAGAGCTTGAGAATAATTGGCATTCCAAGAAAAATCCAAACAATTGGGTACGTCAGAGATATAAATTGAGAATCCAAAATTTAGGTTAGGTCAAATTATCCAAAAATTACTGTCCAATCACCAGAATAAGTCTTCACCATTTTCAATTTTCATAAAGTTGGCTCGCAAATTACATAAAACGAATAAAAAGGAACAAACAAATTAATTCTAAATTATTTAATAAAATAAATATTTTCAGAATCTCGAATCGTTTGGGAATTTTTGATTTAAGGAAGCTTTTATCATAAAGGTTATTCAATGAATTCAATAATAATTAAAAATACTTGTGAATTGTAAAATATCAAATTTTACCACGTCACAACTCTCCCCTTTTTAAATAGACCTTCAAGGTCTCAAAAAAAATTTTTAATCAATGAATCTAATTATCATCAATATAATTTGAACATATTTTTTTTTTTTTTTTTTTTTTTTTTTTTTTTTAATTTTATTTTACAAATAAAGATTTCAATAAGATTCAAAAAGCATTAATCAAAACTCAACGATTCGAAATTCCATCATTAGAAAAAGGTAAATCAACAAAATAATAAATTGAAATAATTGGTTATTGTGACATAAAAAAAATATCAATCTCAAGATCTCATAACCAAATCAAATCCATTAAATTTACAAAATCAATTACTTATTTTATTTTTAATAAGAAGGGTAAATCAACATTATTTAACAAACTAGAAAATTAGTAAATTCTTTATTCAAGATAAGAATAAAAAAAATAGTAAGTGATATTGACATTTCGAGTATTTAAGAACTAAACATAAATTTTTTTTTTTTTTTTTTTTTTTTTTTTTTTTTTAAGAACTAAAACAGATTTTAAAATGTCAAATGAATAAAAAAAAAAAATAAAGAATTCCTTTATTAAATGAAATAAACGAAATTAAAACATTTTTTAATATTAATAATAATATCAATAAAAGAAAAAAAAATTTTAAACATCTTTGAAACGCGAAGAATCTTAATTAGTTTCCTGAATCTTGTCTCTTTTGGCGAGTAGATAAATAGCGGCTGGTATAAGGACCATATTTATGATAGTCCTCTGAGCAAATCGGACAGTCAGCAACAGTGTAATATTTCAAGCCACAATTAAAACAGATGGGAAAATAGATTGGTTCCGGACAATCTATAATGAAATGGTCAGATGCCATACAACGCCA